TGTGAATAGAATTTTAAACGTACAGAATAAATCCTATGAGTACTCTAAAAAATTTTAAGAGATGATTCGAAAACAAAGTCGAAACAAATTAAAGTCAAAGATATAAGGTGTGTATTTTCGACAACTAGAATTATTTTGATGAAATTTTAATCATATACAAAGTTTGGAATCATCTCTTAAATTCTTTTAGAATATTTAGTATCCATTTTGTAGTTATTATTACTAACATTATAGCAATAATAATCATAATTATAATAACATGTATTTAGAGTTACAAATATCCAAAATTTTTCTCGCTGTGTGAGCCGGAACAGTTCATCTTTCTTCCTCTTCTTTCCTCTTGAAAAGAAAAGGAAGAAAGATGAATTAACGTAAAAGTTCAGGCAAAAAAATAGGTCTATAGGCACTCGTTCATTTACACGCGTAAGGATGAAAGAACAAGGTCGAGGTATGCGTTTTTGTTTACATTGTCGCCAAGTATTGTGAACGCGTTATACATGGAAATATATTCAATCGTGCTTCAACAAGATATTTGCATATCGAGTGATAAAATATAATAGTTTTACAATTACATTTACCTATAAATTTATAGTTATTTTCGATGCCAACTGTATCTTTGATAGGTCTATATAAATATTATTATTATTATTAACGTTATATACGTAATAATTATAAAAATGGAATTGTTGAATATAATTATTTCATCATGCAAAATTACAGTAAAATTATTTTACTATAATATAACTGTAATTTATAGTCATTTTCAGTGCCGATTATGTTTTTGTTGAAAATTATAAATATAATTGTTACTAACGTACAGTAACTATAAACTATAAAAAAAAGAGCCTAACTATAATTATTTCACTATACACTTTATCATAATTTATAGTCATTTTCGGTGCTAACTATATATATTTTTTGACAGAACTAAAAATATAATAATTATTACTAACATTATAACAGTATAATAACTATAAAAATGGAGCTCCTAATTATAATTATTTTACCATCCAATTAATCACAAATACCAAACACTTTTTTCTCAGTGCGAACGAAACATCAACAATTTCCCAAGCGGTTTTGATCTCGCGAATGAATGATCTACATCTACATGAAAGTGAAATGAAAATCAAAGTGAATAAAACATGTGATAACTTTCCTCGACACGCGGACTAGAAGTCAATTAAGTTTTCGAAATTCTCGAGTATCACCTCTCGCGCGAAACTTCCACGTGCGAAAGAACGGAGTACAGGTATCATTTTTCTGTTTACCGAATATTAAACAAGAATAACATGATACTCGAAGAACACTCGGATCGAAAATCTAAATGCGTCTCTGAAGGTCAGAAGGAAGAACTTTCGATTTCTCTTTTGAAGTCCCATTTCAAATTACGGACGACTCGTGGACTGTGGTCCTCGCGTGGTCCATAGATTTCCACACGAGAATGTCGAAAAATTAAGGGGAGCCGACGATTGGCTGAGCCGAATGTCAGGCGACGCAGGAACGGTGCTGATTGGCTGCGCGCGCGCGCGGCGTGACGTAACGTGGCGCGATGCTGGTGATGCTTCATGTAGGCGATCCACGTAACACCTCTGGACCCACCGCACCACGGATCTCATTGACGAATCTGGTCAATGTGTTGACGTTTTTATTTCGAGAAAGATCGCGTGTCAACACTCGCCGATCTGATCCCGGCGCGAAGCGAAGACGCCTCGCCTCGCAGAAATTTATTCATTATCTAAGCGCGTGAATGAGAGGAGACACAACGTCGACTCACCGATGACGAATCTTGCGGGCCGGAGCAACCCGCTGCTTCTCCTGGAGGTTAAGTTCGTCCCTTCGCTCTTGTTCTGTCATTCGAGACGAGTCGGCGATTTCGCGAAAGGGATGGAAATTCGGAGATTCGGTCGTTCACCGTGTTTCGTTATACCTCATCTGAGTGACGCCGGTAGATCGTCGAGATCGCTTTGCGACAGGCCGAATCACCGTCACCGCGTGACTATATACGTCTATATGTAATTATTTTTTTCTCCACATGAACGTCGGACGATCCCTACGTTCGCTACTGAATCGCGCGCAATCGTTACGTGAAACGTAAAAAACAGACGAGTATGCCCATGCCACTGTACTGTCATCGTTCGCGCTCGTCCTTACCGGTCGGGATTAGTCAAGATGTACGACATACACGTTATTCTGATCAATGCAGGTGCGGCGCACAAATACGCCGTCTACGCAAAGTCTGAATTATAATTATTTCATTGGCCGATATTCGCATATAGTCGCATCTTATATTTAAGACCGTCTTAAGTACAGTCTTGAGATGTCATGGATCAATCAGAGGCCGGTATTCATAGTCGGTTCTTATTTTAAGACTGTTTTAAGTAATGTTTTAAGTCACTAATGCGGTCTTAATTATAATAAAATCCGACTATGAATACCGGCCATTGATATGTTTAGTAGATAAATAGACGCGGCGATTATTCGAAATAACGAAGATATTTGATCATATCTTTAAATATATCTAAAAAAAAGATACAATGAATTACAATGAATTAAGGATGTTCAAGGACATCCCAAGAATGTGTCATCTAGACATTCTGCTGTTTAGTACCTAATAAAAAAATTTTTATGCATGGATATATACAAGGTGCGTCCCAAAATTTTCCGAACTTTTTCAAAAGGGATAGGTCGGGTGGCGCCATCCGTGTGTTCGATTGCGCATTTGAAAGGTACATCCCTAGCTGACTTCCAGTAAAAATTTCATGACATTTGGTTCAGTGGAAACGAAGTTATGGCGTCTCAAGTGTCAGTATGTTGTATACATCGGTACGAGAATGAACTTCGAACAAAGAGCCAATATTAAGTTTTGTTTTAAACTTGGTAAAACATTTACCGAAACCCATAATTTGATGAAACAAGTTTATGGTGATAATTGTGTAGCCCGTGCCAGTGTTTATGAGTGGTATACGCGATTCAAGAACGGTCGTGAGGACATAAATGACGACGCACATACAGGTCGCCCAAAATCGACAATTAACGAAAATTCCATCGAAGTTTTTATGATTCCAAGGGTATTGTGCACAAAGAATTCGTTCCAGCAGGCCAAACAGTTAATGCTGTATTCTATGTAAGCGTTTTGAAGCGTTTGGTGCACCGCATTCGTCGTATTCGGCCAGAATATCGCGAAGGAGGAAGTTGGCGCTTGTTACACGATAATGCGCCATCTCACCGTTCGACACTTGTCACTGATTTTTTGACTAAAAATCACATTTTAACAATCAACCATTCCCCGTATTCGCCTGATATGGCACCTTGTGACTTCTACCTATTCGGCAAAATGCATTTGTCCATGAAAGGAAAGCGGTATGTGGACGTAGAAGACATCCAAAGGGCTTGTACCACTATTCTGAAGGACGTGCCTTTGAACGACATAAAACACTCATTTGAAATGCTTTTAGATCGTGCCAAACGTTGTATTGAGTCCGACGGGGACTACTTTGAATAAACAATTTGAATTTGAAAAAAAAAGTAAACCGTTGTTTTATTTCAAAAGTTCGGAAAATTTTGGGACGCACCTTGTATAAATATGTATAAACACACATGTATAAATATTTATAAAGATACATAATTATGTATGAGATATGTCAACATGCATATGCGTTCATATATCCTTTCTTTTATTTATAAAATTACAATACTTTTCAGTGTACTATAAATAATAATAATAATACTATAAATAATAATAATAAGAAAACATCAAAAATAATTAAAAGGAAAATTTTCACATTGTTTATTTTAGAAAAAATCAAGTTTAGAGAAATGTAAAAAAAATGTAAAAAAATTGCCCATATATATTGTATTAGGTGTTGGAATTAATTCGTAGCGTTTTACAAGTGATGGGAAGTACTTTCATTAATGTATTTTTTAATGCTCATGTGAAATAAATAACATTCTTTCATTAAAAAACGCTACGAATTAATTCCAACACCTAATAATTGTATATAAAATTATACGTATATAGTTATGTATGAGGAAATTTTGTGGCATTTTTTCAAATTTGGTTTTTTCTAAAACAAATAATGCAAAAATTGTCCCATTAATTATTTTTGATGTTAAAAAAAAATATTATCATTTTTAATAAAAATTTAAGAAATTTTATTAAAAAAAAGATATATAGATATATAATTAATTTCATCATGTATAATTCTATCTGTTTATGAATATTTATGCGTGTTAGGCATGTTTATACATATTTATATATATTCATGTATACAAAATTTTTTACCGAGTAACAAATTCGATAGATCTGCATTAGAGATAGACTTGAAAATAGACATTAGCTCTACTGTATGTAATATAGTACAGATATTTTATAAATAAGAATGCATATATTTATAACGTAATAATATCTTATATTGTAAACGCTCTAAAGTTTTTTCTACAATTATTATTGATATGAATAATCAATCTATTATGAACAGTAATTAGTTAAAAACTACTAACAAAATTTATTCACACAAACTTCTACAAAATTCGATCTCCAATAATATTTTGTTAGTAATTACATTTACATAGCATCCTTAATCGAATTTAATAACATCCGTAATTATTGAAACGGACCATAGATATTCCTCTGAAGAATAAAATGACTGTAATTGGCCAATTCTTAACTACGGATGTGATTAAGATTTACGAGTAAAAGTAGTGATACACAAATAACATATATAAAATATCGGAATACACTTTTTCCTTATTAACTCGTTTATTTTTATTTGTCATACTGATCATTATTCTCTATCGAATTTAATTGCAGGACAAAGTCGCATCACAGGAACGTCTTAAATTAAAGCAGTTTTGGATTTGCTTAACGGAACCTGAGCATGAATAA